AGCAGCATAGCACATGCCCTGCAAATCCCATCCCTGCTCCAGGCTGCACAAAGTCCCGTGGGATCAGGGTTCCCAGCTTAGCAGTGCTGATGGCCAGACAAAGGCAGAGGCAGGCAGCCCTCCTCTCTCACCCTGATTCATGTCCCCCCCGCCTCCCACCTGCGAGGCTTTTGCTCTCAGAGCTTAGTGCATTCAGCTGTCTTCCACCTCCATCATTGCTTTGATAACTGATAGCAGGGAAGGTATTACTTAAAGAATCTGGGTGACTGTTAGCAAAATAAACAGGAGATGAAAGATAAGGCAGTCTCCTTGGTGCATAATTACCTTAAATGAAGGTCTGTTTGCTAATACTGTTGTTTTGATGTGCTAAATAGCTTGGTCTTAACGCCCCAGTAGATACTAAACCTAAGGTAATTCCCAATGATGTCACGCCAAGATTCCAGAGACTGTCAGGAGGCAAGAGGGGGGACTATCTGCAGAGCAGTTGTGTGCAGGGAGTGCTCCCCAGGCAGGAGGCTCGGCTTCACAGACAGCTCTGCTGTCAGCACAGATTTGCAAAACCCTGTGAAGTGATGCTTCCAGGCAGGCTCCTTCAAAGTCACCTACTCCCTCCCCACCAGCCTGATCTTGGGGAGATGCTCTCAGGTGTGCAGCAAGGAGGGCTCCCTGTGTTCACACCCCGGTGCTCTGCGTGGCAGTGCTCCTCACCTTCTGCTTGGGAGAGGGGAGACTCCATTTGCTTTGGAGCTGGGCTGAAAAAAGCTGCTGCCAGCCTGTAGGCAGCTGGGATACCTGTGTGTATACATAATCTGAGCTGTGTGTGATTGCAGGGCTCCTCTCTTTTATTTAATTGTCTGCCTGGAAGCATCTCCTGACCTAATTATGCCTGCAGTTGTGTCACTTAACTTGTCCCGCGCGCCGAGTGGCATAGCATGAGCAGGGAGCTCTGTGCACACACTCTCACGGAGCTGAGCTAATAGAGCCTGACAGGGGGTATCGGGTTTTTTAAGACTAAGAAGTCTCCTGGGGTGTTACTAATCCCCTAGAGGTGCCATTAGCTCATGATAACCACACCTTTGAAATTGTTTTATTGCTTTAATAATGTGGTGGTGATGGAAAATGGGGAACATGCCACATTTATTATTTATGCTGGTAAAAGATGAAAGTTAGCAATTAGAAGCTTTAAACCACAGGTTCAGCAGAACTGCATGACTTGCATTTATTCATTTTCAGACTATCCACCCCAGCACTGGAATGCCCTTACTGTCCAGGTTTGTTAAGCTGGGCCGCCTACATAAAACACTGTAAAGTGGCAGGCCAGCACAATTAACACTGCAAGATAGATACGCATCTGAACTGCAGGGATGGGTGGAGATTTCCTGGTGGGGAGCTGTTGGAAGTGGAACTGTGCTTTATGATATCTGAACTAATCTTGTGCTATGATAATTCTGTCTTGCTTAAGAGCTTGCAGCCTCTCTGTGCGGCGCAGTCATGCTGTGGCAGCTGCTGTGTGCATCTGATCCAAGCTCGCTGCTTCCCCACACACTTAATTGGTAAAATTGCCTCCTATTGTTTATAAAAAAGCATGGAAAGAGTGAGCAGGATGTCGGTTCCCCAGGACTGCAGCAGCAGTGACCTGCTGCCACGCGGATGGGAATCACACTCTGTCAGCTCAAGGCAAGGCGTCGAGGATGCATGCTGTACCATATGCAATGTGACATCTACATCTGGAGGGAGCAGCTCTACCGAAGTAAAAGCGGCCCCTGCAGCTTGTGGTAGAGTGCAACCTTGAGCTTTTCAGAGCTGCAGCACCATAATTCCAAAGTGGAGTGTTATCCCGAGTGCCTAGAGAAGGGGATTGTGGCACCACAGCAAAACTGGAGATGAGAGGAAAGTTGGGCTTGTTGTTAAAGAAACTTGCCAAGACAGCATATGGCCCTGCTTCAAGCTGTAATGGAAGCTATTTCACTAATCTGCCTTGCAGCCCACTTTCTCATTCTGTGTGATCCGTCAGTGAGGTTGCAAGCTTGTTTGATCGCTTCACCTTAAGATCAAATAAGCAGAGGGCTGACTGGGTTTTTATCTGCAGTTGGCAGAAAATGGAGGTGAGAGAGAGCAAATGAGTGATTTTTTATTAAACGTAGAGAGATTAATGCACCCAAATTTAATTGGAATTGCACAAGCAGGCAAGAGGTGTCAAGATCTGCTTTCATGCATAGATTATGTGGGTGTCCTATGTACTGCATTTCCAACATTTGTGGTGTGACTGTTTCAGCCTTGTACTTTGGTCCTTGCTATGAACTTTCATGTTGGTTACCGGTACAGCACATCCTTATTTCTTTCACATTTTGCCCTTTGACTCATTGCATTACTGCCATAGAAAGGCTGTCTGTGGCTATAAATGCCACAGGGAGCTCCTCCATGACTTGGTTTCCCTTCAGCTCCAACCTACTCAACATTAACTGTGGCACACTGCCTTTCCATGTCCTTAACACAGCCTGGAAAGAAACCCACTCCCTGAAGCAAACCCTGAAGAAAATTTAGGCCAACTGCAGGACATATCCAGAGCCTGATGCTTTTGTGGGTGTGCTCCAAAGCTGGAGCACAGTGGCTGGCTGTGCAGGGCAAAGCAGAACCCTGAGGTCATTAGCATGTTCCTAAGCAGCGTGGGCATGCCTGGGTCAGTGTGTTGTTAATTGGGATCTGCTTAATTCTTCCAGAAGGCTGATTCAGTGGCTTAGCACAGGAGGATTACATTAACATCAGTCACTGGCATTCATGTTACACAGGCATGGAGAAACCACCCGTGCCACCCGGGTTCACAGGCCACATCCCATGCCTGACAAGCTCTCACCTCACAGGCCACAAAGGTTTGCTTTGTGTGCGTCTGTTTTTCTTGAAGTGAAGGCCTTGGGACTGCAGAAATTCCAGTGATTCCAGACAGGAATCTGCCAGGAAGCAGCCGAGGGCTTGAACCTAGTACAGCCAGAGCAGCAAGTGTGGGCTGCTACCGCCTAGAGAAGGCAATCAGCTTTAAGCCCCCTCATTACCTTCTCAGACGAACATCGCCCTTCGACAGCGCTCCACGCCCTGGTTCAGGTTATTCCTGCGGGGCTGGAGCTCAGCCATGGCTCCAGGCACAGCTGAGCCCTGAGAAGGGCCGCCAGGCTTTCTGCAGCCATGTAGAGGCTGGGGCAGCCTGAGAGCTGCTGCCAGCCTTGGCCACGCTCGGGCCTGTCCCCAGCGGCACCCGGGAGCCCGCCTCGCCCAGAGGAGCGTGCTGTGCGAGGAAAAATGCTTCTGGCTCTTCTCATGTGTATTTGGGGCAGAAAGGAGGTGTAGTTTAGATTAGAGCACAGCGGCTTTATCAGTGTTTATCAGTGTAGGAGTTCTGCTCCGTGTAGCATAACAGCCTCAAGTCCTTTTAAACCCTGACATCAATATGTGGTGATAAGATAACACTGGTTATCCTGTACCGGTTGCTCTAGATAAGATAAACCCTTTTATGCTTTAAAACAGGACTCAAAGTTTCTGCTATGTTTTCTTTTCCTTTTAATTTAGCAAACTCCAGAAACATTTTATTTCCAAGGGAGTGGTATTTATAAGAGCAGATAAAAATAGTACATATCATAAATAAGACTTTGCAAACTTGCCCAAGGAACATTAAACATTTTATTCCAAAGACCAAATAGAAATGATCTAGTAGGAGGTAGATTTCAATGTCTTAAAAAAAATCATTGGCTTAATTAAAAGCTAAAAACTATTCCAAGTAAATGTCGTGCCTACATTTATTTTGTCAGAAAAGTGAAATACACGCTGGTATTTCAGCAGCCGCGCATGTTAGTTTTAAGGTGGTTACTTTAATTAATATAAACTAACTTCTGAAGAAGTGTTGTTTGGGAGTGCAGCATGGGGGACTTCCATTTTGCATTTAAAGCTCGACTGAATCTCTCTGTACGAGCCAGGATATCCATAAATCTACAGCACTTACTCTTCAAGTAGAGAATGTATCTTCTGAGACTTTAGAGACACATTCATTCATTAGCGAGTTAAAATTAATAACTAGGTCCTTTATGAAATTTAGCACTTTAGTCTTGTTTGTCCCAAACGATTTTAACAATGGAGTAACAGACTCTTCACATTTTCCATATAATTAAAATTAATTGAAACGACGTGCATTAGTTGTAATTAAGCTATGCAGCAAAGAGTGGTTGTATCTAATTGCTATGATTATATAGGCTACAAACAAGCTGAAGTAACGGAGTGGAGTTATTGTGACACGAGGACTGAGCTGCCTGCTGCCTTCCTGCAGGGGGAACAGGAGGGCCCAGGATGGGGCAGGGATGCTTTGGTAGCTGACTTGGCTTGGCTGTCCCTGTCTTTAAGGGGTTCAGGCTTATGCCCCAAAACCTAAGCACTGAAGGCTCCTGCAGCACTCTGTGCTTAAGGACGTGAGACCTCTGTGCTGTTGGGGGAGAAACTGAGTAAGGACTGCAGCCCTATGAAGCACTGAAGCCTTGGGAACAGGGTGTGCTACAGCGTGTAAAACACTGAAATGACTGCAAATCTAGAAAAAGCTGCAAAGTTAGCTTCATGCTCACCAGCACATCCCAGCTCCACCAGGTAGCCCTCACCCCAGAGCCAGGTGTGTTGCAGGAGCCGTGCAGCACGTCACCCTGTGGCAGTGGCAGCTCCTGCTCTTGGTGCTGATGGTCCCAGGTGCTGCCGTGACCCCGCAGGAACGCCCTGTGCCTGCAGAACTCCTCCAGGCCACTCTGTCTAGCCACTTCTCACGGAAACTGCCCCCAGCTGGGCCACAAAGGGACCAGGAAACAAGCAACAAAGCCCCCCGCTGCTCCATTAGCTCTCCTTTGAAGTAATCAGGAATAACAGGACTAAATGCCTGAATCACAAATTTGTGGTCATTACGTAGGGTCACTACTGGGTCAGGCTGAGGTTGCCTTGGATGCCATACACATGCAGTCACTTTTTTTTTGGTGCTCTGCTAAGATTTTTCTGGGTTGTGCTTTGAAAGTGCAGCTCTAATTGTGGATTTCCTACATTTATAATGCATGGTTTGGGGAATAACAAGTCCCTTATATTATTTTTTTAGTTTTTGCTTTTCACTACCTTGTGAACATTGAGCTTCATTTCATGGAAGCCCAGGGGAGGGTTGTTTGTAGGCTTTTTGGTGTGGGAACGCAAACAAAGATTTGAACTGATGCTGCTGTAATCTGCCCTCTCGCCGCCTGCAGCTGGCATGTGCACACTGGGACCGGGACACGCAGGGCTGTGTTGTGTCCTCTAGGATGTGAGAAAAATGAACATTTCAGCAACAGTTTGACCTTTGGGTATAGGAGGGATATGGTGTAGCCTTGCCAGCTGCTCGTTTGCCCACATCACACACAAAGCAAAACAGCCCCACTGAAGCATTTGCATGGTTCATGAGCAGCAGGGCAAATGTAGAAGCCTGTGCTCAATACGCAGCAGGTAACAAAGAATTATAAACCACCCAAATTTCTCTTCTTAGAGTGCACTGGGAATGATTGACAGGGCTTCCAAGCAAAGCCTCCTGGAATTTATAGCACATGGAAATCTTCCTGTTCATTAACAGGGGATTGTGCTTTGGGCAAGGACTTCTGAAGCAGCTCTCCCATCCTGCAGCCATCCTGAACTCAGGGAGGCTCTCCTCTGAGGAAGCTCCTGTTATTTCTGTGCTCCAAACAGTCAAAACAGGAAAGTAACCTCTGGGCATCCACCTTGGGGAAAACCTCAGCCTGCCCCCTCCACAAAATCCCAGGAACCTACTTCTTACAGTAATGGTCTGTAGCCCAGTGTTTTGGGATCAGATTCAGCTGTGTGGGACTTTGCTGTCTGCCTGCAAGCTCAGTAACAGTATTGCAAGAAAATATTTATTCTTTACACATAAGTATAAATTAGCGACCCTCTTCTACACAAGCATGGCAATCTGGCTGACCTCCTTCTGATCGTTTCTTTGAAGATTTGTGTACCAAGAAGTTTAGGGTATAGATTTAGACAGCCTAGGGTAACCACAGGGCCCATGTGTGCTAGCACTAATGGACCTGCACTAATATTATTACAGTGGCAAAGCAGGGACCTTAAAAACCACTCAGGATGGACAGACCATGACATTGGTTGGGGTGCAGGGAAGTGAGAGAAACCATTAACATGTTGTAATATTAGTCTTGAGCCTGGGGACCTGCTATAGCAAATAAAATACCCACATAATTTAGTCAAGGGAATTCAGCCAAAAAAAAATATTAGAAGTTTCATTTTTTCAATGTAATAACTTTTTACTCCATTTAATCTCCAGTTTAACCACCTGAACAGATAATAAAGTACTGCTAGAGCAGGAATAATAAGGCTTGAATGAAAGGAGAGAAATAATGCTCAGGAACACAAAGGCGTGTTCATGAGCAACTCGCCCAAGATACCAGGGAAAACAGGGGGCAAGTTCATCATGACAAAACCAGGCCTTCCCACCCCATTGCAGCAAGGACCCCGCCATGTATTTCCAACTGGCAGCAACACAGCTGGACACCAGATCTGGGGACACAAGATCCCATCAACAATCCCTTGGCTTGCAGGATCAGTGACCTCTGGTCTCCAGCCACTGATGCTGGTGAGTTCAAGTCATGAAGACTGAGCAATGAGACACCGGGCTGTGACAAATGGGCAGCTCTTGCCAGTGCCCAAACTTACTTAAAAAGAAAGCTTCACTATGAAATTTAATCTTGTGTCTCTGAAGTCAAGAATGGGAAATGGGGTCAGACTTTGATACGCCATTTATTGTGTTTAATAGTTAGTATTTTAACTTTTGTACAACTTATGGCTGTACGTACCTGTCCTTTTCGCTAATATCTTGGAGTGAATAAGGGAAAAAAAGTAACTGAGGTTTACTGATTTAAAGTTACCTTATGTCTTTGCTCTGCACTCTTAGAAATTTAGAGAAATAAAATTCAGGGCTGAAAAAGTAGGTTCAGGTGTGCAAGGTAGTGTGCATCTCATCACCTTGCTTGGCTGGTAGGACACCAGCTGGAGCCACTCTCTGGCAATAAGATTTCCTTCCTTCGCTTCTATGACATGGTGCACGTGCCCAGCCACTGGGGTTGCATCCCTGCCCTCTGCCCAAAATAAAGCTGTGTTAAAAGGAAAGGCATCTGGCACAAGAGGGGGTAAATGGAGCTACGTGCCTCTGATGGACACAGGACCACAACACTGATGGATTCATGCAGAATGGTACAAATAAGGTCAGCCTTCTGCCATTTCTTGAAGAGAAATGAAGGAAAATATGGTATTCAAGCATCCGGGGGGGATTCGGTTTGGCTGAATAGGAGAAGGCTGCTGGATCCTGGCTGGGCCAGGGAGCTCAGCACCAGGCTGCTGGGGTGGGAGCAGGCAGGGGCTGGCAGGAGCCCAGCAGCCAGCTGGCAGCAGCTTAAATCAAGAGAAAGTCTTTAGATATGAGAAAATCTGGATCCATTAATTACCTACCTTTCAGATCCTATTTTGTGATCATTTAGTATTTCATAGCTTTTTTTTTTTTTTCCTCTCCAGATCATCCTTGTTTAATGCTCTTTAGAGGCTTTATTATGTTCTTTCCCATTGAAAAATTTCACCCGAACTGTGTATATCTTTAAAGCACACGCTAAGTTCAGATGGTTGGATCTTTGGTATTTAGGCTTCCTACAAACAGACATTTCCTACCTTCCTCGTGACACTCCCTCATCCTCCCCAAAACATCAATACATCCTCAGAGTAATCTGGAAGCCACAGCAACTGCTCCTGGCAGGAAGCTGCTGAGCCATTCTCCAGAAGCCTGACCTGTGTTATTTGGAACAGATGCTCTTTTAGCTTTGTAATATTCAGCCAAAAACAATGGCAGTAAGTAAAAGCTGTAGGTCAAACTAAGGCTAAGCTCTATGAGAATTATATGAAAATATTTTCGCTCCATGTACCCGTGACACCATCAGCCCATAAGAAGATGACAGATGACATTATGCCCAAGCAGGGGAAGTTACTGCAGCTAACACCTGGCTGCGTAAAGCCTTCTGGCTTCCCTGTGACCACGAGCAGCCACCAGGGTAGGAAACAAAGCATCGGCCAGCTCACCTGCAGGGCTGGCAGCGCCCAGGAGTGTGTGTGGCTTCAGAGATGCAGGTCTTGTCCTCAGGCATCCCAGGGCTGCACAGGGGCAGGGCAGGGGATGAGAGCTGCCAAGGAGAACAAAGCTTTCAGCTGTCAGAACCAAGCGCTCAAGTGTTGGTCTCCCCAGCTGGACAAAGGGTCTGTGGGGCTCACGCTGCCTCTTCCCCCTGCTAGGCATGCTTGGTTTAACAGAGCTCAAGAAACAGGCAAGTCTCAGGAAATAAATGTTTTCAGTCTCTCTTTTTTATTGCCTGTAAAATAGCAGGAGGCTTTCAAAGCAACAGCAAATCCTGTTAAAAAAAGTAGAGAAAATTAAAGAAATGTTTCTTGTCTCAGATCCAGCCCTTTTCACCTCAACTTTCCATCATGGTACATAAAACTTGTGTGTATTTTGGCACTGTGGAGAAATAGCTTTTCCCCCTTCTCTTCCTTGCACAACCCAGGAGCTCTGAGTGAGCTTTAAAAGTTTTGCACAAACACAGAATGGCCAAATAATAGAGCAAGAAAACAGCATTAAACTTTGTAGACAATCAACTTTATTCTGTGCACAGCAGCTAGTTTCTCCCACTCTCAGCAGAAATAAAAATTTACAAGTGTTCTGGGAAAGCACTCAAAACCAAACACGTCCAGACAAAGTCTAGTGTGAACCACTTGGAAATAGATCTGTGCATCACCTTCTCAAAGGCTCATTCCAGCCATGTTGGCATAGCCAAGCTGACGGTGCCCAAAGCAAATACACTGAGAGATCAGGACAGGATTTGAGGGCTGAGATTGATACCAGTCACACGTGTACCCGACAGCCAGTTTTCTGCTCTTCCAATCTTCTCATCAAAGGCCCTTTCTGCATCACTGCTTGCACACTGCCACAGAAGAAGGATGCCTTCTTATTTGGGAGCGTGGAACCTGCCTGCACCAGGAGCAAAAACCCAGCTACTAAAGAGGAGTGATCAAAGACACAAGGATCAGATGCATTTGCAGGCACCATCCCTTTCCATAGGGAGCACATTAGGTTTGCTGTACACCCTCATTGCACTGACTGTCATCTTCCAAGCATAGCAAATAACATTTTCATAAAGCACTGCTTTTAATCAAGCACAATCTCCACATCCCCGAAGGAGCTATCTGGAGCCTATCCCTTCTCTCTGCTGCTCTTCTTTGCCCCCTTTTAACTCCCTCCCCACCCCTGAGGCCCTTGCCTGCAGCAAGGAGGGCTCCGCCGGGGTCCCTTTGGAGCTCATTAACACAGGTCCATCCACCGGGCCACCAGGCTGAGCATGAGGTGCACGGCACCCGTGCTCCCCTGGGACCTGGCGTGCAGGGCTGTGCTGTCACACGGCGATGCACTAATAACCACGGAGCCCATGCGAAAGCAGAGTATGGCACCTGAGCATAGGGCCCCTGCAGTGGGATCTGGCAAGCCCCGTACTTGAACAGTGTATTAGAAACACTAATTATACTTCAGAGTCAGCAAATATAGAGAGGGTTATTTGTGTACCCAGTCACTGCTGCAGTTTGGTTCAGGGATTGGGGAGTCTGGATTGAAACCACCTAAAATACACTTCTAAATATCATTGTAAAGGAATAATCTCATTTCTGCAGTAGTACAGACATATCCCTTTTCAAGCACCAAGTGCATGGATCCGTGCAAGTGACTCCTGACTGGCAATCAGGCAGTGTGGGCAAGAGCGAGATCATCTCCTTGGAACTTGGTGAGGGTTTCCTACACAGCAGAGGCTTTCTATTCAGCACATCACAGAGAAAAGCCTGCCAAATATGTTCATTACTTATGAGAATGCAAATGTTCATGGGAAGGGGCTAAACTCCTCTTCCACACAGCTCACAGTCAGTAAGTGCTCCTGTGTAGGCCAGAGCTGCCATCAGCTTTACAGAGGGTAGGACTTGCATCTCTGTTTGCTCCACGCTCAGTGAGAAAGATCAGACCAGGAGCACCAATACAAGCACACCTTGCCACATGCTCAGTGCTGCTGTTAGATTTACCTGTCCCCCATGGCTGGCTCTGGGCAGGACCCATCATATCTGGATCTCAGAGCACGGGGACTCATCATGGCCTCTCCCAGGCTGTGCTGATGAGAGGAATCACTCCTCACTGATGAGAGGCCCTGCATTTTCTTCCCTGGGAGAACACAGCTCTGTTCCTTCCCCCATTTAATAATGCACAATTTATCAGGCTAAATTGGTGAGCTCGGTAGCAAGTGATTCAAATCAACTTCAGCAGCTATAAGCAATCATATATACTTAAAGAAATCCTCTTATGCTACTTTCAGCAAAACCTGAGGAAAGTTGCCTATGAATGTGCTACTGTAGCCTATTAATGCTTGAGAAAGCCCATTTAAATGCATCTCTGATGGTTGATTGAGACTTCTGTAATGGAAGTCCGTAAGGAACCTGCTCCTTCCTTCAGGCTGGGCAGGCCAAGTGCCTCCCTGCCTTGCTTGCTCGCTACCTGTGTGTAAGAAGAGCCAAGGATGGAGGGAGAGCTGTGCTGTGGGGAGACAGGAGGGAAGCCTCCATGTTTTTAACCAGTTGGTGCTCTTGGACAGCCTCACAAACAGGATCATGAAGTGTGTTTCCTGCAGGAAGGGGCTCCCTGAGACCCAGAGAGCTGTCCTACACCTTCCTCCTACACAAAGCTCAGAGGTGCTTCAAAACGCAGGTAAGAAAGCCTCAAGTCTCATGCAGCTCTGCTAGGCCGCACCCCTTGCCTTCCATAGGAGGCCTGCTGGGCCACATGGGCAGCTCAGCCGATGGAGCCCTTCCCCTCCTTTGTCACAGGCTCAGAGGGTGGCACCAAACTGCTGAAGGTGCTCCAGCAGTCCTGGTGATGAGCAGAAACGCCTCTGGGTGCTGTGATAGCAAGGAGAACACTTGGGCCTCAGCAACCTGCCAACAGCTCACCTTGGGGCTGCAGCTACTCCCCGTGCTGAATTACACTGCTCCCAGCCAGTGTGACACACTAACCGTTTTCTGAGCTCAAATAAAACCTTATGAAGAAAACAACTTCATTTCACTGCATGGAAAAACACAGCAACTCAGGGGACTACCCAAGGCATGTTCAACATTGGGTCAGGGGGGCTTTCCAGCTGAGCTCTCCCAGGATAGCCCAAAGAAGTTAACCTTCTCCACAGTGCAAATAAAAACATTTCTGTGCCTTACCATAGCCTGCATGAGCTCAACGTTTTAAGCCTGCCCAAAGCTAGAGACACTGTGTAGGCTGAAGGAAAAGCAGGAGAGGAAGGGCAGTCCCAGCTACACTACTCACCCCTGCTCACATATTGCTCCTGCCTTTGTGCACGTCCATGCAGCAGAAGAAGATGTAGTGCTCCCTTCCCTCCCCTATAAGCCCTCCCAATGCCTCCCAGGTGCTTCTGTCTGGGGCAGATTGGCCCTTGCCAGCAGCTGGGGGCTTTGCCAGATACCATGCATCCCCTGCAGCTGGTGGCAGCACCCCGTGAGGCAAGTGGCCTCCCCAGGCACCGGCCCTGGTGGTCCCCGGGGACCAGCCCCACCCGCTGCAGACGTGGGTGGTCATCGGCACTGAGATGGGGCCCTGTGGTCAGCAGCCCGCAGGCCGTGGGTGCCTCTGGAGAATGAGGACTGTCCTCCCATCGCTGCTTTTGTAGTAGCAACTGCTGTGCCAGATAAAAGCTTTTGTTTGCCTTTTCTCTCCTACATTCCTAATCTCCCTCTGAGCTGGTCTCCCCTATAGTCCATCAAGCACTTTTAATCTCTAATTGCATATGACTGATGAGCCTGAGCTCCACACACAGCGTTGCCAAGAACCACTTTTTCAGAGCCTGTGTTAGCTCTTTAGGCCAGTCATAACACACTGCAGGACCATTAAGAGTTTATAGTTTGTATACATAACACCCTCGGAGCACCAGAGGGTGGTTTATCCAAACAGAAAAGAATTGAGATGAATGAATGCAGAAATGACTTTTGGCCAGGAAATACTTTAATTTTAATTAGGGGGGAAGGGGGTGAGAGAGGAATGAAGAGGCTTTCTTCTCTCACAAAAGACAAGACTAATGAGTTTACAGCTGCAGGCGCTGACCTTGGAGCATCCCGTATAATGCGAGTGCTGAAATGTTTGGATGTGATGTTAGACCTGATAACCTTGCTTCTCAAAGGAAGAAATAAAGGGAAATGTCTGAATGGGGAGCTATTCGTTTCATGGGGATGTATGCATGTATTTATTTATTTTTCCCCCTCTTGCATTCCCATTCAGCTGCTTTCAGTGACGCAGCCATTCACCCAGCTGCTGAGCTTATTCGTGCAGCCATCATCTATTCTGAAGCAGAAATAGTCAATTACTGCAGTTTTCCCACACTTAAGACCCCCCTCCCCAACAAAACCCCACTGACAAGCCCCCACCTCCCTGGAGCCTGCAGCTGGATGTGCCACTTCCCTGTTGGAGGGGCTGCCTCCAGGGTCCCGTCCCTTTAGGGCCACATCCAGCCTGGCCCCACCTGCGAGGAGCTGCAGGGGATGAGCTCCGCAGTGCTTACACCCTGTGTCGGGCTCTACCAGCTCTGTCAGGCACCACCTGGCCCTGCAGAGCCTCCAGCCGTGCCTCTTACCGAAGCTGTGCTTGATGGCACGAAGCTGCTGTGCACGGCTGGGGCTGTGAAGCCAGCTCAGCCCCCGGGGAATCAACACCCCCTGCCCTGCCGAGTCGGCAGCCAGGCGGGCTGAAACAATAGTGCAAGTTAATGGAGCAAAACAACCATCGGTGTTTCCTATTAAAAGTATTTTTACGATGATGATGATTATTAATATTATACAGGGGCTGTAATTTTCTCCCGCCTCGCTCCAACATCTCACAAAATAAACAGTTGCTGTATTATCCCCTTGTAAATGAGACCACAGGATTGTAAACTTTAATTTGTTACTTTTGGCTGCTCTCAGGTTTGGCAGACAATTAAACCAATTCATTAGTTCACAGAGGCACATTTTTGGCCATGTCTGGCTGTGTGAAGTCATCCAGTGAACACATTGGATGCAGGGTGCAGAGAAACCATCGCCTCTTTGCCACATGATTCTCTAGTACCAGTACAAATAGGCCAGCGTGTGCTTTGCAGAACGACGTGGGATGGGGCACTGGCTCCTCCTGGACTTGTGCCATTAGCAGCCCGCTGACCTGGTGTGTTGGCCAGAGACGTGGCATCGATCCTGTGTCTGGCTGGAGGGCAGCTGGGTCGTGCCTGAGCCTTAACCTTTAGTTCTGAAGAGTCTGATCAGTAAAACTCCTTAGGACACAGTAGAAAATGCTGAGCTCTTGAAAAGACTGATCTGGCTGTGTGTGACCTCCAGAGCCATCCTCGCAAGCTGAATTAATTCCTTGAATAGCTTATCTTGTTTCAATGCCTGCTTTCTCGGCTGCAGACATGTGATTAGCCTGTACAGCCCCATAAGAGCAGAGCTGGCTTTTGGCCTCTGCAGGGCTACCAGTCATATACATTGAGAATTAAGGTATGCTTTTCCAATTTAAAATACAAGCCATAACAATAATATTTCATGATACTATCACATCCCCTGCCCAAAGGGGCTTAGCGCAAACCAGCAATCAGGTTGGATTCCACGTTTGGTGTTTTTTACACATTGTAGTTTCTTAGACATCCATTAAATAAACCAGTAATCCTGAGCCATCTCAGTTTTAGAAAACAAAACAAAACAAAAAGCAAACAATAAAACACCAAAAGAAAAAAAAAACACAACAACAACAAAAAAACAACACCCATACAATTCCTCCCTTTTCCTCTGTTCATTCAGCAGGTGTAGAAGACCTCAGTTCCACTAGCCAAGTACTCACCAACACTATCAGGCACGTGGAAAGGCAGGTGATCTTCACAGTGATGCACATTGCTATTTGTAACTGAGAAACGGCAGGAAATCCACTCGCTTGTTTCCTCTCCTCCTCATAGTCCTTTGTGGGCTGACAGACAAGGTATGGCTTCCTGCATTTTAATGGATTTTGTGGGAATGGATTTTTGTGGCTGAATGCATCCTTAAAGGCAGGCAGGAGGTTTGCAGCTTGCGGTGCATATTGGTGAGGTGCTAAGAATAATATGGATCCCAGAAAGGAACCTAAAATGCTTTCAGTCAGTTTTCTTCCAGCTTTTTCGTACAACAAGCCATTAAGGAAACAGTCTTAAATCCTCTTTGCAGAGCATTGCATTGGCCCTGTGTCTGTGGCAGCAATTTAGCAAGCCCCAGGAAGGGTTTCACAGCTCCTGGTGGTTCCTGTATTGGTGTTTAAGACACAGACTTATGAAAGGACTTTCCAAGATACAGAGGGATGCGTGTGTGGGTCTTCACCTCAAGGTACAATTGAAAAAAAGGCCTTCCCAGCATCTCGACCCTTGTGGTGCCATCACCTCCAAGTGGGAGAGGTCCCGACCTCCTGGCACGTGGCCTCACCAAGCACAGGGCTCCCTCCTACCCTCTCAAGTTGGAATTATTCATTCCTTTCTTTCTATCCCACAAACTTCCTTTGTCTCAAAATTCACTCTAATTTCAGGGCTTTTTGGAGTCAAACAAAATAGCACTCAGAATGAAATGTTTTGAATAATGAAATCCAGGAGCTTCCCCAAACTCGTTCCCTGCTCCTGCTTTTCCCGCTTTGCCTGTGCTGCCGGGGCACCTCGAAGGCAGGGCCTGGGGGAAACGCCAAGATGGCGGCGCCTCCAGCCCCGCCAGCAGGGCCCTTGCTCTGCGGGAGGCTGCAGCAGGGCGCTGGTGTGGAGTTGGTCACTTAGCAGTGTCCGGCTGGGGTTTCCTTTCCTTGCAGTGATAACGTTTATTAACAGAAGTGTTGTGACACTTAGCAGAGCAAAGGCTGTAGAAGAGCTAATTAGGACTGGGTGAACCCACACTTTCTCTCCCTTCAGAAACCTTGGCCCAGACCTCTCCTCATCCCATGACTTTGCTGGATGTGAGGGATTGTGCCTGGTCTCTTCACAGGAGAAAGCAGATGAGGAGTTGAGGGAAGAAAACTCCTCCCTGCCCCCCAATTATTTGGCAGAAACCACAGTGGAAACCTGCCTTCTCCTGGCTGAGACTCAGCCATGTCCTCTCACAGCTTCTCCTGCTGCTGGCAGGGACATGCGGCGCGTGGCCGTGGTGAAGCAGGTGTGAGTGGGGCTCCAGTTTCTTTTGAGGGCATTTTAGATGCCGTCCACTCCTCAGACTGCTTTCAGGGGCGATGAAGGGCTGTAGCACCCAGTCATTGTGGCCTGGCTGCTGCGATCTGTAGGACGCACTGCTGCTGAGGGACCTGCTGGTCAACGGGGCGCTGCACAGCTGGTGCCTGAAGGACAGCTTCGTCCATGGGAGGGGACAGGCGGGGAGAGCTCTGTTTTGACACGTCCTTGTTGGATGAGGAAGAGAGCAAGCAGAAAATGGCTGATGATAAATGCAGCAATTAGGGAAGCTTAATGGAGCAGTAGGTTTTTGTGAGAAGACAAAGAAATCGCCATGCTGACACCTGCGAGGGGTCCCAGCCACCTCCGTGCGGAGGCCTCACGCTGCGCTGTTGCCACAGGGGCCAGGACGAGGGGAGGAGAGCCTTTGCCTGCATGTGCACACTCCTTGAAATATGTACATGAAGGGAAAAAATATTTTCCAAGTCAAACTTGCAAGCACTTTTTTTTTTTTCTTGTTATGCTCAGAACAGTTCTGCTGGGGGAAGCCCTTGGGCTGTGCTGCCTGCAGAGATGCCTTGTTCAGGGCTGAGCCCATGACCTGCTGTGCTCTGTCCCCAAAGCTCGGTGTTCCCAGCTAACCCCTGGGCTATCAGCTCCCCAAGCTTTGAGTAAAAGTGCTAGATTTGTTGCCAAAGCCCCATTTCTCTTTACTTCCTTGGTTAGACTCTTCCCAAAGCAAACTGCTCTTGCAAACGGACACAGCAAAGCGCTGGGGAAGCTCTGTACCTGCTCTAACAGGGGCTGTGATGGGCAATGCCACTTTGGTCTGTCATAAGGCCATTACCCAAATCCCCCACAAACTGCAACACAAATAGTTTCCTAAGGCTTTGACAAAAAGGAATTTCCTGAAGGAGTTAGAGAAAAGGTTTATTTTCTGCAGAGTACAAGCCAAAGAAAACACCAGTCCTGTTTTCCTCACCTCCAAGGGCTCCTTGGGGCTAGCTGGAGCTGTGCACCTCTGGCCTACCTCTTCTCTGGCTTACCTCTTCTCTCTTTCTGCTAGTCTGCCCAAAGCAAAGCTGGTGTGTCTCCTGCCCAAGCTATCAGGATCTTGCATTTCTGTCTAGCTGGCTTCTTGTGCTTTCCCTTCTCCGGATCCAGAC